TAAAATAAATATCAAAAATGTAAGTCTTTGTTTTACTATGGTTGCAAATATCAAAAAATTTCTATATGTGACACGGCACCAGAGTTAAGTTAGGGTTTTTCAAAATGCTGACACGCCTAGCTCAAAAGGTTCGCCATTACTGGCCTAGTGTGTGTGTGTGTACTTGGGATAAGGTGGGCAAGGAAAATCTGAGGCCTGAATAAGGAGCCAGGCCATATTCCAGACAGAGGGTAAGGCATGCTTAAGAGCCTTGGTGTGTGAACCAGCTTAGTAAGTGTGAGTGGAGAGACCGGAATAGATTCATGAATGATCGGGACCAGTGGTCACCAACCTTTCGGACTACCAGTGGTCCGCGGACCACCGGTTGGCGACGGCTGCTCCAAAGGTTTCCTTAAACCAATGGTCGCCAACCTTTCGGACCTCATGGACCAACAGTGCCGGGATTCTGGACTACTTCAATGACCTCCTGATTCTCCTCCCCACCCCACCCCCACACCTCCCCATGAGGCATAGACTCAAGAGAAATTTGAACTCTACTGATCGAAATGTTAATTATCATTGAACAAAATCAAAGAATCCTGAGAGGCCAAAACCAGTTTGGCTCAGTGGATAGAGCGTCGGCCTGTGGACTGAGGGGTCCCAGGTTCGATTCCGGGCAAGGGCATGTACCTGGGTTGCGGGCACATCCCCAGTGGGAGATGTGCAGGAGGCAGCTGATCGATGTTTCTCTCTCATCGATGTTTCTAGCTATCTCTCTCCCTTCCTCTCTGTAAAAAATCAATAAAATATATTTAAAAAAAAAAGAATCCTGAGAAAAGAGGGAGCTCAAGGCCAACTGTGAGGCCAAAAGAGTTGGTACTGACTGGTATGGTGACCAGGGCCAGGGGACCTGGTGTCCACTGTCTGCTGTGATCTTGAGCAACTCACCTCACCTCTCTCAGCATCCTCTAATGTAAGGTGGTGACATTAAAACCTCAATGATAGAGGGAAGAGGTGAAAACCAAACGAAGAAGCACTTCAACTTGCTTGTACACTGCAGAGGGCTATTAGGCACATAGGGAAATCCTTCTTCCCTTTCAGGGGGTGCCAGAGTCTCCTTACCACTGAGTTTCCTGCCTTCAGATGAAGGCAGACACTTTGCCAGGACTGAGTCTCTGTTTTCTACCATCTGCAGCTGCTCTGGCCGGGCCCAGTGTGCACCCAGGACATGGCACTTGCCAATGAGCGTGTGGCTGGTGGGTACTGCTGAGGGCTTCCAGGCACAAGGATAGGACATGTGCATACACAGATGGATGCAAAAACATTTTTCTTCTGGGCCTCAGTCTTTCCCTGAGGAAAGCAGGCTTAATTATCTCATCTCCCAAGACACAAGGCCGTCATCAATATTACAGCAGCGGTTGTAGACTGTCATGGGGTCGATGCTCCCAGAAGACACCAGAGAGAGCCAGAGTCACGAAGCTTCAGGGCTTCAGGTGTGTCCAAGCTTTGGTTTAGGAGCTAGAGCCGGTTTGTCTTATTTGTCTCCTGGAGCCAAAGTTCCTCCTTTAGATTAAAAATGGCATTGTTTACATGGTGGGCC